TGCTGTGTTCCAGAGGTTTATCTGATAAACTCACTATGAAGAAAGTGTGATATAGGGGGTGGGATCTGATAGCATTACTAGCAACAAAAAACAGTTCTTACAAGGCAGTTACAACACTTCCCAACTCCAAACATCAGCTAAGGGCTGTTTAAAGTGGCCCCTGAGAAACAGAAAGTCTTTCCAAATGCAAAACCTAATACAGAAGACAGAGCTCAACGCACCAGACTGTCAGCTGGGAAAGCTCCAGTTAGAATTTAGGAAAGCCTAACTACAACCTTTAGATAACTGGTAAACGTCACAGCATCGAGAACTGAAATGGTATCATCTCATCAATGAAAACATGGCAAGCAATGTTTCAGTAAAAGCTGAGCACTTTTCTTATAAGGCAATGCGGAGCAATGAAGAAAAGGCCAAGAGAAGTCGAAGCATATTAGGGAATGGAGTTCTGCCTTACAATCCTTTTGGTTTATGCACTGGAAAAGTGCCATCTCCTCTCAACTGCATGCTTAGTTTGATTCTTCATACTGCGGTTGATGACACGCATTCATCTCGGGAATGGGGATGAAACAAGAAACACTGGACATTTTTACTGCATATCTGAATAAGGAAAAATACTCAGGGTAATGTGAATGCAACTAGGATGCAGGTGAAAGTGAAATTCTTGTCAAGACATGCAATGATATATCAATCTAGATCCATTCTGTCTGTGAAATTCGTAAACTCATCTGTTTTGGTCATTCATCAAGAAAGATGACTTTCCCCAGAACAGCCTGGGTTCATGGAGAAACAATGTCTGTGAGTGTTTCTGTGAAAACAATAACCATGAATGGTTTTAAACAGTTCTATAAAATGGGGTTCAGTACAAACAGAAGAGGCAATTATTGCCTTCCTCTATTTTCTTTTTAAGAAATAAAGACGGTTAATCTTTTCCCATAATAAGCAGAGCACAGTCACTGAGGGGGTATGAGAAACAACCAGTTTGGAACATTCGGCTATAACTGCAAACTTAAAACTCGAATGCACCACTTTTACTTATAAAGTCATAGCAAGGAAACCAGGACTCACCACACTGCAGTTACACTTTCTTTAGAGGACTTCTAATGTTCACAAAGCTCTTATCAGCTGCTATTATTACTAACAAAGCAACATGCAGCCTTTTACATTTAGTACTACTAGATTAAGTCTAATTCCTACACAACAGCAAAGATGACTTGGAAAATCAGAGAAGCAAGCTCACCAGCTAAAAGAATGATGAAGTGAAACTAAGAGATTCAGTGATCACAGAATCAAAACATCTCAAAGGAATAGTTTAGAGACAAGCAAAGCTGCAGCATGAAACCAAGACACGAGAAAAGGGTGTATTAATCATCAAGTGGAAAAAAAGACCTCTTAACTAACCATTTATCTACCTAACAATTAGCTAGGAGGGTTGCTATGTATTTTATCAGAAACATTTAACCTATGAATTTATATCTGCTTCATTTTTATGGCAACATGACAATGACTAAGGAAAAAAGGAATCTCTGAAAGCTGTTGATTTCCACTTCTAGGACACAAACATGTACATCAGAGCAGAGCAAGGACATTCCTCATGCCACCCTTCTGCTTGAAAAAAAATCACTAGAAATTGAAGTCAGTTTTTCTAGAACATTGACAAAGAAGAAGGGATCAATCAGTAAGTTTCTTTGAGGCTGGACAAGACACATGAAAGCCTAAGGCATATTTTCTGAAAGAATATTGAGAATGGAATGCTAAAGCCTGAGCAAGTTTTGGAGCAGCTTCCATTTATCACTGTCGGACTGCAGAAATCCCATTCCTCTCTCAGGCTCTTTTAGAAAACTCTTCTTAAGCAGGAATTATACCTATAACTGGCACTCTAGATCAGTTAATGCCTAGTGATGTGAAAATTAATATAGTGAACTCTGATTTGGATGGATCCTTAGGAAATACACCATATTGCTATTTTTGTTTTTATCTCAGTCTACCCATATATCTTATTTACTACTGGTATTACAATTGCTTTACTGTAACTAAAACAACCAAACAGCAAATGAAGTTTTCTATTTTACCTGTTAAACTCCTGAATTCATGATGCTGGTGTCTCATTTCCTCCAAAGACAAACAGGCATGAAACACTACCTCATGCACTGCAGTAACTCTGCTTTATGCTTTTCATATGCTGCCTGCAGGCACAGTGAATAGGAATAGGAATAAAAATTGGAACACAACACCAAGAGATCTTATTCTGCTCTCTATATCTATGCTTTTAGCTCCCATATTCTGATTATTTGTTACAGCTCCTACAGCTCTGGGAAATGACAGACTCACAGATATTGTGAAAACAGCAGCCTACCTCCCTTCAGGGCCTCAGTTCCCAGGGTGAAGGGAAGAATGGCAGAACCAGTATGCTGTCTCCTCCCCATTGCAGAGGCTGAGATCAGTGGCCCATGGAGAATTTCATACTGAGGAAGTCACAAGCAAGTGTTATTAGGAAGTCTAATGACAACCCTGGATGAAGATACAATTTTATTCACTAACATCCTGCATTCTAGGAGTATACTGTATTACTGTCCTCTATATCACTTAGTTTCTTACAGCAAAGAAGGGAAGCTTCTTCCCATTAAAGCAAACTGGTTCTATATCCTTCATTGCCTCTTTCCTTCTTGTTAATAAGTGGACACAAAAGAACTTTCTTCTACCTCAAGTTCCTGTCTGGAAATGAGGAAAATGTCCTGTACTTCCCATACCAAATGGAAAATGTATGGGTATCAAGAACTCGGAAAACAGCCAGCTTTCTGCATATCCTCAGTACTAAACATATCATTAGCTTATCAAAAATGAAAGTTTCCAAAGAAACAAGAAGAGGATATGAGAAATGTAAAGGTAAAAGAGCAAAACAGAACAAAAAGTCTGGTGTTGGGTTTTGTTTGGTTATCCGCGTCACACCGCCCCCTCCCAAATTTCCATTTACATGCATGCTATTATTAAGTTGCAATTATAATTCATGGGCTTAGGATTTCATTCATTTATCATTAACAACAGGTATTAACATTCATTTATCTATTAACAATAATAGTTACTTGGATTGCCAAGATGAAGCCTCTATCGTGCTAATTATTAAATTGCAATTATAATTCATGGGCTTAGGATTTCATTCATTTATCTATTAACAATAGATATTAACATTCATTTATCTATTAACAAAAATAGTTACTTGGATTGCCAAGATGAAGCCTCTATCGTGCTAATAACTGCATATTTGCACAGGAATTCCTGTTCTAAATATCGCATCTAGACAATACAGACAACAAAAAAATCATCAGACTCATGTTGAGTGAACTGGAAAGAAACATTAAAAATCCAAACTAAATAAAGCCATAGAGGAAATTGTACCAGTCAGGAACTGAACAGAGATCTCCTCAGTATGCAGTTAATTGACACAAAGACTCCAGGCTCCCTGCTTGAAAATGGCTTCCCCAGGAACTTCCAGTGTACCTCTAATTTTATTGGGTTTTGTGAGACTCCAGTAGAGATGTGCTTGCTTTTTTTCTTCCCACCAAGCTATCCTAATTAATTTTGGCTTTCTGATGATAGTCTGACACATTTAAAGAAGGAGAATCTAACACCGCGTCTAACCGATGAGCTTTCTATGCACATTATCTCCAGCTCCATCCCCAAGGAAATTCGCCCTCTGAATACCTGCCCAAAGATATATCCATAGACTACTTTTTGAAAGATATGCAAGCAGGGAGCTTGTATCCATCAGCAGAATCCAATCACAACGCTTCTAGTTCTGAACATGATTCAGGATCCTATCTATACATTAAGGCCCGAGAAAGAAGAAATAATTTTCCACTTTGCAGAGTCTCTGTGCTATGCTAAATTAAGCAAAATAATAGCAACGGAGACAAACCGTGCATTAGGAATAGTTCAAAAACAGCAGGGAGGAGGGAGAGGAGTAACAAGCATTACAGTATCTATTAACTAACAGAATGCTTATGGAAATAAGGATAAGATGCACATGCATTTCAAATGAATCCTTATCTATAGCACCATAAGAAAATACAGCAAAATAAATTTGTCAGGGGAAACAGCTTAAAGCATAACTCTGTAAGCATCCAGCCATTAGTTTCATCTGAAGTGCATGTGATTTCTTTTATCACAATGAACTCATTTCACAATTAAAAAAAAATGTATTCTATATTTGCACTTATAACCCTGTTTTCATTAAGTCCAATGTCAAATGCTATCATACTCAATTAGAGCATAAATATAGGTGCATAGTAAAAGAGTTTCTAAATCCAAATTTCTTCTTTATGTGCTCTTTTACTGATTCTGGAACAACTAATACTTTTGCCTTCAACAGTTACAGATAAGACTTGTTGAGGAGGCACATACGGCAAGCAGTACCAGAACTGTTTTCTTCCAGTAAAGCTACACAGTGGAAGGAGAGACCTATAATGAATCAACTTGTAGGTAATCATGTATCAGATTTCTCACACAACTGCATCACTGACCATGTCAATCTCTACAATGTGTAAAGCACCTGATTACCCAAAATATTCTGTGTTTAAAAAAAACGTTTCAGAGATATTAGTGGGAAAATTCCAACGCTCATTCAACCAGTGCTCTTGCTGACCGTAGCATATGAAAACTGACAACCAGAAAACCAAGATGAAGTTCAAAGCAATTTTTCAATGCCTCTATTGATTAAACTTTCAAAGCTACCCTGCTTACCAAAAGCTTCCTGCTTTGCGAAGCAACAGATCTGAGACAAGATCACACAGATTCATGGTGCAACAAAACTCATTTTAGTAGTAAGCAAACAGGCAAAATTTCTTAAGAAAGTATTTTCAACCATTAACCTCTTTGTGAAATTCAGTGAAGGAGAAGAAAGGAGTATGTTCACTTAATGGACTGGTCTAACAGCAATACCTGATGAATAGTTCAACTAAAGTTCTTTAATACCGTTTTTGACTGATCCTCTGTTCTCAGCCTACCTGGTGTATTCAGCAACCGGGACATCTTGCAAGAATAGGAGATGAACTGCTCACAGTATTCAGCACTACTGGTAATGGCAGAAATCTGGTCCATCGTCGCACTGTAGTTGAGCTGCAGTACAGATAACTGTACTCCCACAGAAGTCTGCACTGGCAGATCATGGTACACAGTTGTCCATACTTTATCCTCTGAAAGAGAGAGGAAAAATACAAGGACTGGTGAAAAACAGACAGTGGAACTGAATCAAATAAATCCAGGCCTTTGACAGAAGACAAAAATGTCCTGCAAGGTAGTAGGGAAAAAGGGTATTGCATGTGGAAAGTCATCATGAGAGAGTACAGTTCCAGCAACCATGAACTGATCACAGGAAGAAACCTTGACTGCCTTTGCAGTTTTGACAGCCAATATACAGTGCAAGGAGACTTCCTTGAGCAACTGATGCTAATAGTGACATATGGTACTAATAAGGACTAGCTTTAATCAGAAATTGATTAGAAGGACACAAGGTTGAGGCACTAAAGACGAGCTACTGTAACAACAGGGATGTGCCATTCTGCGATTGCACTGTTTAGTGATTAATACTGAAAACACTGCAGTTTATGAAGGTTTCCACACTTTTAACTCCAGGTGTGTTCCTAGGGTACACCAAAACTAATGCTTATTGAGACTTGAATATTTTACAATAGCAGCACCAGATGACCTCATTGATTGGGGTTATGGTATGGATATCAACATAAGATACAATAGCAGTAGGAGACAATGGAAATAGGGCTTCTGCTTAGTTGTGAAAAATCAAAAGGAAAGCAGAAGGACAATCGTATTTTGCTGATAAGAGGCACAGCAGCACCGGCTGTATCTCAACACTTCCCACAGCCTCATGCACATGCAAAAAACTGTGCAATACCCAGCCCACAACAGACCCTGTATTCACTATATTGCTTTAAATTGCCAAACAGCAAATCGCTAAAAGTGTTACTACCGTTTGTCAGTAGCTACCAGAGGAGATTTAAGATAAGATACCATAATAATAAAGCAACACGCTCCACACTCCTTTTGTTGGAGGATTTGTGGGAGTTGCAAGGTAGTTTAGAAAGGAAATAAAGAAAAGGCACAGAAATTTTACTGTTACAGACCAACCACTACTTTTTCTTAGACAGACATTCCACAGAACCAAAATGAAAGGAAAATATAAATACCTGAGAGTTTCAGAATTAAAACAATGAAGATTCAGTTAATGTTAGAGATGACTTTTTTCCTGTAACAGTCCTATTCTATCACTTGGGTATGAAGAACTTTTAAATTCAAGTTGACTAGCTACCAGTGTAAGCAAGCACTGTTTCAGCTGATACTTACTACTCACATTGTCCACCTCAAGATAGCTCAGGACTGAAACAGGTTAATCCTCCTTTATAAATGAAACACACAAGTTTTTCTTTTTTTCTATAATTACCCTTAAACAGATCACCACAGAGCACTCTAGAAGTGCAGCAGGCTTTGTCACTGGTCTTTATCATGTATTGATCTTCCACATTTTAAGTTGTTTCTCTTTTAACTTTTCTTTCTGTTGTTTTACATACTTCTACTACTGAGGGCCAAGTCAAAGAAACGTTTCTTTGAATAGGAAATGCATAATTTTAGGAAGCATTTAAGAGCCTATCCTCATGCCTTGAACTGACTTGCTAAAAAGCCCTGTTTTCCAGGTGAGCCAGCCAGGCCTTTGCCCCAGATGGTTCAGCTGTTTCTGTACAGCCACATCACTGACCACAGTCGTCCTTCCATGGATGGGGAGATGAAACATGCCATGCTGCTAACTTTGAAAAACCAGATTCTCCAAGGGAATCCTCAGGCAGTCTCAAAGAACACTAATTCACCTGACAGATGTGCCTTACAGCAATAAACCCCATAAAATGTAGTACATAGCAGTATGTTTTCAATTCCTCTATCTAAATCCCATGCCTGTTCATACACATCTCTGGGTCATCCCAAAACTTATGGCCTGATATAGCGTGGTTCAGTACCTTAACTACATGAAACTCCTGTCATCAACTGAGGCATACTCAAGAAGTGCTTCAGTACTTCTTCACCAAGTTCTCAGCAAAGTGCTTACGTACACTGATGAGTTCTGGGCGTGATCCAGAGTAAAGTTACCTTTCAATGCCACAATTATCTCCAAGACTCTGCACTCCACCCTATTTTCCAGTCTTAATTTTCACTGCATAGTGTCAGGCTATTTTGGATTAAAAGGAGGCATGTGGACGCATGTGTTTGTAACCGATACAGTGCAATTCTCTCTAATCAAATGTTCAGAGATAAGGTAAGCAGAGCCGACAACTCCTCCGCAGGGAGTACACATCACTAGCCAAATGAGATGAAATTCAGCAGGTGATGCAAGATGGTTATTATGTTAATATTCATATCTTTAGTCCAAAGCTCTGTATCAAACTATACTATTCTTGCACCAGGAAAGGAAGCAATTTTTACAAAAAAGGGAGGGGAAAGAAAGAAGTGGCATTCCTATTGCTGTATAGCTTTAGTATAACTCCAGGTACCAAGGAAAAAATCGTAATTGTCATCTGTCACATTACGCAGAGAACATAACATAGTTTTGTTAAAAGCCTCAGATGGAAGTTTACTGCAGCTTCATTTTCAAGAAAGGATTGATTACACAGTCACTGACAGCAATGTCTCAATTCTGGCAGAAAACACTGGACATGTAAGAACTCTAATGTGTTAGTACGGCATGCATTATGCCAGTTAGTCTCATCTGGAATGAGAAAAAATTCCTAGACTAGCTATTAAGAAGCCATAGGAATGTTATTAGCAATAGGAGCTGTCTTCAGCATTATGTTTGTGAAGGGTACTCCTTTTGGATACTGGATTTTATTTAATGCAGCCCTGACGCTTCCCCCCCAGTGAGGGAGTTGCAGGCTTCTGCATTGCATACCATATGAAAGAAGACAGAAACACCTTTGTGTCAGTCAAACACATCCCCTGAACAACTTCAGGATCTTCCTGTTGAAGTGCAAGCACTACTAATAGAGAAAACATGGTTACACCTTGCAACATATCTTTTTATACACATGTGCATTAGGTCAATAAGGGTTTCTAAAAGAGCATCTCCATCTCTTCCTGCTGTCTAGAAGATGATGGCAGATTGATTAGGGTATACCTGACCAGCTACTGGAAGGAAACAATAGCTCCCACTACACCTCCACCTTACCTTGTTTACAGACTGGCTCAAATGACTGATCACAGAATCACAGAATGGTCTGGGTTGGAAAGGACCTTAAATTTCAACCTCTTGCCATGGGCACGGATGCCTAACACTAGATCTTGCCCAAGGCTCTGTCCAGCCTGACTGATGAGCACTTGATTGTAGCAAGGAAGAATTTACCGGCTTACCAGTGCACAGGGCACTTCCACTGTCAAGCCTGAAATCAGTTTTGTCAGACACGCATAGGATAATAAGCAAAGGATGCACAGAGGCTGCCAGTTTCTTGACATTCAGCAAACTGGCTCATCCAAAATCTGGAAGAAGAAAGGTCTGTGCCTGGAGCGTGGAGGAAAAGTTGTGGCTGACATAAAGGAAGGAAGGAAGCTCCTTGTCTGGGTGGGGGATTTCACACTCTTCATACATTTTTCTGATTTAACTAAAAAGCCCTGCCATGATGCATGGACCGAGAAATCTGGAATGACAGGGTCTTCCTTCAGCCAGAAAAGCATACAGACAGTGTAACATGGACACAGCTGAAAACTCACCTCCCCTTAACACCAAGAGCAGACTCCTGCATCTCATACAGTTATACCACTGGGAACAGCCTTAAGATGTATGGAAAGACTTAAAGGAGAAAGTTGCCAGGCAAGAATCACAACCTTGTGTTGTGTGCTGATTACAAACTTCTAGCTTAACAATAATGCAAACTTCTCAGAAACTGCTTGTTACTTGAGACCATTCTTCAGAAAGATTTAATCAGTAAACTGCTTGAAGCCAACTTCCCTTAAAAAGAAGGTAACACAGATAATTCATACTATCTCAAAACCTGTATCATCACCTTTTATGGAATAATTCCCATGCAGCTGAGAAAAGAATGCAGTAGTCATAGTTAATGTATCAAAATCTCCAAGAAGAGCTACCTCTCAATTTCTGTCAATAGTACACAGAAATATTATGTAAGGTACACAAAACTGAAAAATCTATCCTAGGTAACTGTAATGTGATATATAACCCTGGCAATTACAGTCACCACAGCCTGGCAGTGTTCAAGGCCAGGTTGGACAGAGCCTTGGGCGACATGATCTAGTGTGAGATGACCCTGCCCATGGGAGGGGGTTGGAACTAGGTGATCTTGAAGTCCTTTCCAACCCAACCCTTTCTGTGATTCTATGATTCCCCTAATACACTGGCAATTATTTTAAGAAAGCATAACATATGGCTACTTCTAACAAGTGTTTAGAGACAATTCGTTGTCCATCAGAGCTGTGTATATGACTTCTGAACAGCCAAACACACCTATAAGAAGCAGACATCATTTAATTATAATGCCGTTGAATAGCATCATCTGTAAAATACTGTATATGCTTATTACCTTTTTCATTAAAAACTATATTAAAATGAATACGTGTTGAGATTAGTTAATTTAAGGCTAATATGGCTTCTCATAATATTTCTTTATTGCAGACACGGTAACAGGAAGTTAAAAGCTAGTGTTTAAAGGGATATTAAGTATGTTCTAATTACAAAAATGCAGTAGTACTACAGAGAAGGGCCATGGAATTTTGGTAAAAGACATGGGAGTCAAACAAAAAAGTACACAGTGAAAATCTTCATGTTACTGTACAACTTGTGCTTATGGTCAATCTCACATCATGAGCTCATACAAGCCAGGAGACTTCTCAATTGTGACGTAGTTTAAGGAGCTAGGCTGGATAGCAACAGCTTCTTTTGATATCGTAACAACATTGATATGACAAGAGTTACCTGACTGGCTGACCTGACTTCAGAATAGATTATACAATCATAAATAGGTAAAGCATCATTGCCAATTGGATTAACTGGATTCAGCTTCTGCCCAAAGTTAATCCTATGCACAGATTTCAATTAATTTCAGATACACTGAAATTCTGAGCATTTGCATTATTCCATTATTAATTTATTCTAAGACAGACTGATTTTGTAAAAGATCATTTA